AATTAAAAATATATTGAAACATGCTATAAAATATTTGTAATTGAAACCTTCCACTTTAAAGCTAAACATTAGTATACACAAAGAAACATTCTCAATTCCATCTATTAAAACAGAAGAAAATGAACATGGAAGAGATAAATAAGAACAAAAATTATCAACAGGTTCATAAAATTTTACTGAGAAAAATTAGATTGATTTCCAATCACAACTTCTTAATAAAATAATAATAATAATAATAATAAAAATAGAAACGAGCACCTAAAGTAATATAAAAAAAATACACACAGATTGCAATCAATATACACCTAAGAAAAAATTAGATAAAATTTACAGAATTTATTACACTGTTGGAAATAACTTTAAAATGTAAAGGTAGAACACAAAGTACAAAACCAAGAAGCAAACTGAAACAATAATACCAAGGGGCGAACATTATTGTCAAAAATAAATTGAATGCAACTGCAATGAATACATGCTTTATCAAGTAGACAAAATTATTTTCGAAAAAATGATCTGACAACGAAATGAAAGGCAGCTCGATAACCGAAGACGCGTGTGTTTTGTAAAATGACGATGACGAACCTTAAACGGTAGGCAAGCTTGTATTTTGTCAACAAGCTGTCTATTCTTGCCCTCTTGACCGAAGATGTCCATCTTGACGGCGTCGTAGGATGCGCAAAGTCTGCAGAGTTCCTGGTAGCGTTCCCTGGGCTCCATCGTCGGCGTGGCCACGAAGAGGATCACGATACTGGCCCGAGGAAGTTGGATTATCCGAATTTCCTCGTGGCAGTGTAGAAAAAGGCTCCTCTGGCCCGGACTCGGCCTTCTTCTTCTTCTTCCTCGGATCACATCCTTCGGAGCGGGGATCCGCGGCTCGCTGCGACACCGCGCGGCTTCCGTTTATGGGTTACTTCCTGGCGATTTTCACGACAGTTAAGGCCCCGGGCGCCGCCATCTTGTACACAGACACTTGTTCCGTCGGTTCTGTCGAGTACGGCCTCCTCCATGCCGCTAGATATCTCGTACCTCGGCTGAGGTATCCGATGATTTTTCAACACTTTAGAAACCGCGAATTGTATTTTGGTTTTGTATAAGACCCCGTTCATATTGAATTGATTTCTACGGGTTCATTGGGCATTCTCAATGTATCTAATGTTTAGGCGAATGGTAATCTGATTGGTTCGTATTTATCTGGTTACTGATGTTCTTTTATTGGTGTGTTAATTCTGTGGTTACTGTCGAATGTTATTTTCGTTAATTTTGTGGATCACATTGTGTTTATATGTAGAAATTTAACTATAAATTTTGAGCAGTACAATTAATCATATTTATTCGTGTATATGCCATGCTGTACGCACATATGAATATATTTGTTTTAATAACCTAACCTAACCGTAGTATTTTGCATCCTTCATAATATATATTTACATATTTCTTTTTAACTTCGTAATTTCTAAAGTATGTGTTATTGTAGAAAAAATTACGTAATATTGTATATTGTTTTTATTAGCATTTTGAAATTTTATCATTAAAGCTAAATTTTTATTGTTATCGTATCAGAAACGGTTACAAATAACGCTTATCTACCACATAATTCAGATATCTATATAATGCGTATTATTATTTAGAAAATCTTTATTATTGATTATTTTACTTAACACTGCTATTATCGATTTTACTAAGGAACATAGAATGTATATGATGGAATGACAAGATTCTGTGTTCCTTGCACTACTACATATAAAATAAATTATTCTTTTATTTGATGTAAAATAAAATAAGACTAAATTTTTTCATTTTTCAGAATTGAAAGTATTCTTGATTTCAGATATATTTTCGAACATTTGCATTCACTCTAACCTATCATAAGAAACAACAGTCATGAACATTTTTAAACAAATATGATTAATGTCCTGGTTCATCTGTGAAATTTGATAAAATTTAAATAAAGTTAAGTAAAAACGTTGTTAATGACATTACAGTGCACCACTTAAAAGAGTAAATGTAGATATAAATGTAGTCTAGTAAATGTAAGTTTTTAGAATGGATACTTGTTTTAAATAATTTATTTCTTACGTATTAAATAAAACGTTATATTCATAAAATACATATTGATTAATATTGATATTAATAACTTTAATAATACTTTTAATTGTAATGAATAAATAAAATTTATATTGTCAAATATCTTATAAATTACTGTTTAACATTTTTTATTAAGTATATATAATCGCTATATTTTATTTTTAACATAAATTATTGATATATTTACAATATATTTACATACGTGTTAAATCAAAGACATGTATTTTTGATTTCCAGTATAACTCATAGTCATGGATAGTTACTCTAATCCTTTCAGTTTTTCTAAACAAACTGGTTCTCTATTACATGGGTTAGGAGCACCTGAATTAATTCCTGAATGCAAGAAACGTAATATATCGACCGATACACTACATGAGCTCAGTATAGAGGAGTTAATGTTATTAGGTAAATGGGAGAAATGTTTGTGATTATATTTCTTTAATGATAGTAACATTAATGCAGGTGCTGATGCTCAAAAAGCTGAAGAAATAAGAAATGCTTTAAATATAAAAAGAAAATCTGGTAATATAGCAACAAATTCCGAAGACAGGTAAAAATGTATTATATTTTTATTAAAGCATTTGAAACCAGAAAGCAACCCACTGATGGGCATTCGAAAAATAGCTTGAATATGATTTGAAAGCAAATTAATTTAATAAGTAATAATTACATATATAACTTTTAGGCTTAATCATTTCCTTGAAATCATTAAGTATGGCGAATATCATTTATCTCTCATGCAAGCATTTGTGGCATATTGTCGGTTAAGGCTTACAAAAGACAGAATTAATATATTTGTCAATCCCAACAAATGCTTAAGTGCTTCTATGGTATTACCCACTTCTGTTGATGCAACTTTAGCAGAACTAGAAGAAGCAACAAAAAATCTTTCTGAATTAGAAAAATTAATTCCAAGGGTATGTTTTAATGTTTCTAATACCAAAATGTTTGCACATTGTGTTTAATTTTTTATTTCCATAACAACACCCTTAAGAT